AACATATAGCAAAAGCCCTGTACTCATGCACATTCATGGAAACCGCATTCTGAGAACACCTTGAATTATCTTTGCTAAATTAAACTGTATAAGATGTTACCTAATCAATATCTAAACCTCTTCCTCTACCAAAAAAAAAATAAAAAAAAAAAAAAAAAAAAAATCTATAAACCTGTATTTTCAGCATTATTATAATATGAAACATTTCAAAATAAATAGCTTTAAGAAAGCAACATTAACTTGGGTGTACACACTTTAAAGCTCTCATGATTTGGCCCCTTACTTTTAGCTCCAAGAACAATTATCATTTAGTTAATACATACAGATTCAGTGCACATCCAGATTCTAACATAATAATAAGCTTTTTCCTAGCCACTGTATCTAATGAAACCAACATAGTGTATCTAACTAATGATAATCTTACCTATCAGAGTCCAGATAATACTGACCAAAAATATTAGAGATAACCATGTGAGAAATTATTAATTGTAAATTTCTTGAGGAAACATTTTATACATATTTATATCCATCACAATTTCTTGAACTGTGCTTTCAGAAAATTTGTTTTGGATAAACTTTTGTGGTTTTAGATGATTGATTTAAAGGTCTATCAGGGGGTCCCTGAATTCCAATGGAAGTACAAACACCAATGTTTTTTAATAGTCATCCATTTCTCTTATCACTTTTAAAGCATTAATGCACAAATAGTAAAAAGAACTTACCAACTCTATCGGGGAGGACTTCGAGTGCAGAAACTCTTTCATCTTTATTAAGTTCTAGTCCATAAACACAGTCAAATCCATCGTACTTTATAAGATACAAAGAAGGATTTACGGGCACCTGGTCCAGGACAGTCCCTTTCCACTGGGTGACAGGGCCGTTGCCCTCTCTCCACCCATGCTGGATCCTGCAGCCTACGATGTTCCGCCGGGGCTGGGACACAGGCTTGCTTGGCCCCACACTGCTCCGATGTTTTCTGTATTCATACACACACACAAGGTATTATCTCACAAGAAGGAACAACTAGATCCAACACAAGCACCGGCTAACATAAGCTTTACAGACAATTCCAAGGAACATGCAAACTCCTGTTTGCCACACTCCTGCTTCAGGGGACTCAAGGTAATCAGCTCCTACCCCCATCAATGGTGTTCAGAGGTGAAGCTGTGTCCAGCAACAAATATGTAACATGGTTCATTAGCAATAGGAGCATGCTAGGTACCTGAACTGTGCACAGGCACAAAACACCACTCATCAACAGGAATAAAAGCCATACTCCTAAACACCAACTTTCAGCTTTCTCAGTTACCTTTAAATCAGTTAACTAGGAATTGCCTAAGTTAAAGAAAAAGTAGGGCTGATCAACAATAACTATACTTATATAATACTGTGACTATTAATCCTGATATGTCAACTTCACTAGATTAAGAAATGCCCAGCAAGTTAATAGAGCACACTTCTTGGTGCACCTAGATGGGTCATGGTAGCCTGGTCTCGGGTACTATATACCCAACAATGCCCCAACCATTTTCTCTTTGGCACTGATCTTCTGGCTCTGCTTTCTGGCCACCATGAAGTAAGTTTGCTTTGCCTGGTCCTTTTGCCATGAGGTTCCTGCCTTGTAGCTTGATGACCATGTCCTGAATCTCCTGAGCTAAATTACACCTTTCTTGGGCCAGGGATTTAGCTTAGGTGCCGCTGCCAACTAACTCACAAGTGCAAGGCCCCAAGTTCGATCCCCAGTTCAAAAAACAAAATAAAAACAAATTTCTTCTTTTAAACTGTGGATGTCAGGTATTGTGTCTCAGCAATAGGAGTGTGAACACAGAACACTGGTATCAGAGAAGTAGGGTCATTGCTGTATGACTGTCCCTGATTATGTGGTTTAAAAGCCTCTGGAACTGGTTTCCTGGAGCAGTTTGGAAAAGTTTCGGTATGTGAACTAGAGAGGTTTAGACTGCAATAAGCAGAGGGATGGGTGATTATGGTCAGAGCTCAAAAGGCCAGAATGCTGACAGTAAAAGCAAAGTTTAAGAAGTTGGGAACAAGCAAGTGGGAACAAGGATTCCACAGGTATTTAGATTAAGGGCCATGGTGTTACTCTGGAAGAAAAATTGTCTCCATTCTGCCTATGTTCTAAGATTTTGCAAGGAGACTGACTTTAAAGGTGATGAACCAATCTGGTAGAAGAAATCTTGTCAGGCTGTTGCATGGATACTCCTGGCTATTTTTAGCCAGATTTATAATAAGAATTAGAGGTAAAAGGCACAGCAAAGATTTTTGGAAAAACTTAAAATGATGGCTCACAAAGAACCATGTGTAAAGTTGGGGCCAAAGAAGGCACAACAGCTACAGACCAACACCATTAAAAACAAAGCAAGTACTCTGTACAAGGATATGAGGAAAGACTGACTTCAGGGCATCTCAAGAACCAGCAAGACCCCACTTATGTCAGGGTGAAAGATATAAAACTACAAAATTTTGTCTTGAGAAGATTGTCCCTGAGATTCCTGCTGGAGAAGGGCTTCCAAGGGATTCATTTCACTCTACTAGTCATCAAGGTACTCAGAGGCTGCTGCAACCATATGCCAAAGGGGCCTGGTACTACTTAATCAGGCAAGTTACTCTGGCATTGTCCATGGGATGCTGGTTTTACTGGCATACACAATACAACAGTTGTAGAGTCAAGGAGACTTCCATCCAGATTTCAAAGAAAGGTCTGGGAAGCTAGGCAGGGAACCCCTAGAGGGCAGTGCTATGAGGATGAAGCCAAAGATGCAATGGAGACACCAAGAGATCCAAGGTGCCAGGAACATGGAACATCTGTTAGGGAAAGCTGTAAGTCAAAAGCAAAGCCAGTCCAAGAGAGAAGTTGTGTGGGGCAGCCCACACTCTCTGGATCTCGTATCTCACTACCATGTGCCCTAGATGCCAGAAGACATGGTGCAATAGGGCTTAATGTTCTGCTTGCTATGTTTGGGGCTTGCTTTGATCTGATTCTTTTCTTCTCTTCCTCTCCTTTAGAATTGAAATGCTTAACCCATATCATTGTACACTGGGATTATATAACTAGTGTTTTATTTTTACAGAGGTTCACAGCTAAGAATCTATCTTAAGTTGGACTTGAAAAATGCTAGAACTGTTGAGACTTTGGGGAAGAGATTATTGAGTTTCTGGTTCTAAGTGGGATAGCTGTATTATGTCAGGTAAAATCATGAATTTGTTATTTTCTTTAGAGATAAATATGGTTTAAGAAGATGTGTTTGGATGTGAAATCAACAAGGGGTAGTAGATGTTGACTATTAATCCTGATGTCAACTTCACTGGATTAAGAAACACCTAGCAGATTAGTAAAGCACACTTCTGGGGGTGTCTGAGTGGGTCATGGAAGAGTGGTCAAGAGTATGATATACCCAAATATACTGCCCATTTCTTTGGCATAGTTTCCCTGGCTCTGCTTGCCCAGCCTTTATGAACTACGCATCTTTACTCAGCCTCGTCCTACAATGAGCTTTCTGCCTTGGAGTGAAATAATCATCTAAATCTTTAGAAGCTTCTAAAAACAATGAGCTAAATTAAATCTCTCCTCCTTAAAGTTGTAGGTATCAGGTACTGTCTCAGGGACAGGAAAGCTGACTAACACAGATACTCATAGATTTCAAGCCTAAAAGAAATGTACATCTATTCAATCTCACCCAGTACAACACTCTAAAAATTCTGTTCCTACTGATTTAAACAGCATCAATAAACTACACATTTAACTTTTACTAAAATTAAGAGTTCAAGTTGGCTTATAACAATGCGTACTACCAGCACTGCTTGTCTAATACAATTAATGACAAATATTTAATGTAACATCACAAATTATTTATAACGACATCAAATTATTGTTTTGCAAATACACACAACTAAAAATTTATAATAATGCTTATAAACAATATATCAGCTCAACATCAGGAAAAAAATCATTTTACCTTCAAATCCAAAGACAAAGGACAAGATCTGGTCTAAATGTGAGCAGAAGGCCCAAACCAACCTGACAGATGCTGATACATGCAAGAGTGGAAAGTGATGAAAGCAGAAACAAATCCTCTTTTCAGTTTTATGGATAAAAAGCTCATTTGGTGAACCATAAACATTAAGTACTTAACACCTGACATGTAACTTTTTTTCTGGTGGTACCAGGGATCAAACTCAGGCCCTTGTGCTTGCAAGGCAGGCACAGAACCACTGAGCCAAATCCCTGGCACATCAAACAAGTATTTTAAGGAACAATTTATTGTTGTTGTAATATTTAAAGCTGTACTATATACATTCTAAGAATAATTTACTCTGAAGCAGTTACATAAATTCAGCCATGTCTTGGAGGACTGGCAAAGAGAACTTCTTACAGACGTGAAGGGGACACTATTGTCAACAAGAAGTATTCACCCAACAGGGAGACTAAAAAAAGGTGCCCCGTGGTTAAGTGCAGGACTGTGAGGACAGAAAACCACTGGGCTGCTTCTGCCCTCAGGTCATCTTAAGTAAAAATAAAATCCTCAGCACAGTAGTAGGATTAGAGAGCAGAGGAAATGAGAGGAGATACCAAAAGGCAGATCTCAAAAAGGTGACTTTAAATATGTCACAGGAAAATAGCAGAGCAGCTGCAGAGCTCTGAAGATAGGCCATCCTAGGATCTCATCCTTTTCTCATTTAGATGAGCAGACCCAGGGGATCAACACATATCTGTGAAAGTTTAAATGCCTGTAGGCAGCAGTTTGTGGCACTGTCTCTGCCTCCAAACTACATGAAATAATTCCATATAACAAATCTCTTCTGTATTTATCCCCTCCTCCTCGTTTTGTTTACCCGGAGAACCTTAATATAGGAACACATACCAGAAATAGAAAGGCTCAGAAATGACACAGCTAAGATGTGAGAAAAGAAGCAACTAGCAAATTTTAAAAACAAAGAAATTAAACAAGAAGACTAAACAGAGGAACAAGAGGAAATGATAACATGAGAGCTTACAAAGGAAATGGGTGATGAAAAGGTACAGATGGAGTAAAAATGAATTCAGAGATGGTGACACATATAGCATCTATATAATAGAAGTGCCTACAACCTAAAATGAAAGAAACAGGGTGGGGGAGTACTAAAAACCATAATACAAAAAAAAAAAATTCCTAAACTAAAACTTGAATTGCACCCCCTGGGAAATCTAACTCATAATGACCAGTGCTAAGTCTTACGTTAGTAAACGGATTTAAAAGAAAATAACACCTTTTGGGCTTTCAGGCAAAAGGACCAAATCATGTATAAAGTAAAGAAAATCAGATTTTGACAGCAACAATTTATGCCAGAAGATAATGCAGTAACAAGCTTACTGTTCTCAGGGCAAAGAAAATGCAAGCCAAGGATTTTATAATCAGCTAAGAATTATATGCTGACCTTCAAATACAAAGGTCCCACAGATAAAACTGTTATGAATGTGTAAGAATACTGTTCTCATGAATGCCTCCTAAAGAAGTTATAGGCTCGTGTGCTTCAAATAATCAAGGACTCATACAGAAGCTTCAGCACAGGACAGATAGAAAGAATACATGTACTTAACTGCAGAACAAATGGTGGGAATAAGACACAGAACAAGAATACAGCTGCCCTTCAAGCAATGCAGGGCTGCTTAGGACGCCAACCCTTCAGCACAGTCAAAACTCTGTTGACCAGAAGCCTTACTAATACACAAAGTGAATTAACACATATTTTACATTATATATTCTATACAGTAAAACACATAAATCTTTTACTGAGATACCTAACTTATTAAATTGCTCACACAGAGAATTAGCATCGCCCAGTGGTTTGAGAGGATGCTCACAACACCAGAGCAAAGGGTGACAGGGCACAGCGTGTGCTGCTGTTAGGTTAGGACCTAGTGCTGCACCTGCATTTGTCCACACTTCTCACCACTGAGAATGGCACTGTGTACAGTTT